GGAGGGCATATCGACACATATGAGGGCATATCAACACTTGAGGGGGCAAATAAATATAAAAAGGGGGCAAATCCACCAGACTGTAAATGTTTTTGCCACCACTCTAAACAATCACCCAAACATTATTGCCATCATCTACTTGACCATATGAGAATCTTTTAAAGTATTGAAGTTTTCACTAAAAATTATAGTCTAACATCTTTGGTAAAGAGATGGTACCCGAAAAATTTGAAATCTCTTTAAAATGGCAAAGACGACCTTTTTAAATCCTGTAAAAAATCGCCAAAATATATTCCAGGTCTAAACTGAAAAACAAAATAAACTTAAAAAAATTTCCAACCAAATTCATAGACCAACCCCTTTGAAAAAATCTAAAAGGGCGGCCAACGAAGTTTCAAATCTTCAAATTTAATGAAAATGACCTAAGTACGAGACAAAAATATCACCCGACATCGTTTCCAACTTCATTTTACCATACCAAAATTATAAAAAAGCACTACATTCACTAAAGGGTGAATTGTGCCGAAAAACACCCTCGCAGATTTCCAGATAGAATAACTCCAATCACTAAAGAAAATATAAAAATATAAAAGGATTCACCCTTACAAGAGTAATTTTTTGTCCATTTTCACCAAAATAAAATCTCAAGAAGATGACAATTTTAAGCAATTGACCCTGAAAGGGTGAAAAATGTCAACGAATCAAAAAGAAAAAGGGTCAATTGTGTAAAAAAAAAAAACACCCACGCGGAATTCCAGATAAAATAACCCAAATCACTTAAATAAATATCAAAATTTTAAAGCATTCACTATTACAAGAAGAATTTTTGTCCATTTTCATCCCAAAAAATCCAAAAAAGGTAAAAATTGTAAAAATACACGCTTGAAGGGTAAAAAATGTCAACAAATCACCCAAAAGAAAACGGGAGATTTGTGTCAAAACAACACACACGCAGAATTCCAGATAGAAAAACCCCAATCACTAGAATAAAAATCAAAATTTCAAAGAATTCACCATTAAAAGAGTAATTTTTTGTCCTTTTCACCCAAAAAATATCTCAAGAAAGTAAAAATTGCAAAGAATTCATCCGTAAGGATATAATCAGCGAAGGAAGCTAGGGTGAATATTTTCCCGAAATTTTGACTTTGATTTCCTTGTCTCCCTCTTAAAAAATTGCTTTCGATGGAAATAGTTAATATCCTTCTTGAGTGAAACGCTAGGAGGTGTCGACTTCAATGTTTTATTGTTTTGGTTTTTGTTGTTTGAAAATTGGACTTGTGAAAGTTACAAAAAAACAAATAACATGTGGCGTGTCTTCCAGTAGCGTTTACAGCCGAGATGTAAATCAAATCTTAGCAAACCAAAGGTTGAAAAGACTACTTAAAGAACAAAGGCTGTTATAGCACTGTCTCAGTTGCACGTTAACCCTGAGATTTTAACAAAACCTGCGGGATAAAAAC